TAGAAACCATTACATACAAAATTCCACAAGACAAAGTCTGGATTACTATAATTTATCTACAGACAGGGATACTGCTGGTCTAAGGCCAGCTGCATGTGAACCTGGGGCAAACATCTTATCAGGTCTCACTGTCCTTCATACTGAGTCAGTTATCCCACAGCTGAAAAGCCAAGACAGCTATATAATCCTGAAATCATTCAGTCCTGCTGCAGTGCAGGTTGGAAAATTAATATGGTTCAACCATAAATTCTGTTGCTATGCTCCTGATATTTATCAAACCAACTGGTGGTCTAACATAACTTTGAGTTTGAGAAAGTGTCTGTAGTTCAAATTACACTGGTTACAAAACCCAGATTTTTCTAGAAATCTTTCTGCCACTATTCAGGGTAGGTCTGAGCCACAAGCATACCACTGGGACAGTTTCTGGTGTACTGCCTTAAACCAAACAAGCTGTTGGGAATCTCGTACAGAATGTTGGATTCGGCCAACTGTGCTTCAGTGTAATTTACGGCTTTAAGCAAAGAGTGTATACTGAGGTTTATTCAATGCAGATTAGTTATGGCTTCACTGTTCAGAGATCTTGCACCGTTTTCATCCCATCCTTCCCCCACAGAGCTCTGAGTGATACAGTTTTTGCCCCCCATGTTATCCTCACAATGACCATAGAGTAGGTTAGGCTGAGAGTATTCAACTGGCTCAAGTACACACAGTAAATTTTTCACAGAAAGTGGAGATGTCAACCTGAGTCTCCATCGGCCTTGTCTTCTAACCACTACACCACAATGGCCCTCACTATATGCACTCCTAAACAGTCAATTTAAAATTCAGTGGTGATCACAAGTTTCTCATTTAAAAAAAAACACAAGACTAGACTGAAGTTCCCCCATTCCACAGTGATTCACTTTTCTATAACAGTATTTAAATAACGCTACTACAACTGACCTACAAGGCAAACAGAATGCCTGTTTGAAATAAGTTTATTCCCTAAAATTTCCTCAAGTTAATTAGTGTAATACACTGTTGCCAAGTTTGTGACAGTGAACTGACACTCTACGTTCCCAGAGAAAAAACAGGAATCTGGATTTTTTTCCAGCTCTGTTTATGACAGCCATTCTGAAGTCAAAGGTATTCACAAGATCAATGTTGGCTTCAACAGTATTAACTTCTACCTAAGTTGTGGATAGTTTCAAAGAAGAAGAAGAGACGAGATTGGATTTATACCCCGCCCTTCACTACCCAAAGGAGTCTCAGAGTGGCTTACAAACTCCTTTCCCTTCCCCTCCCAACAACAGGCACCCTGTGAGGTAGGTGGGGCTGAGAGAGCTCTGACAGAAACTGCTCTTTTTCAAGAACAGCTGTGCCAGAACTATGGCTTGGTCAAGGTCATCCAGCAGTTGCAAGTGGAGGAGTGGGGAATCAAACCCAGTTCTCTCAGATTAGAGTCCGCACACTTAGCCACTACAACAAACTGGCTAGAAACAGTGATGAGAACAGCCTTACTAAATCAAAGCACTTCTACAAATACTTGGAATGGACAAATCCTGAGCAGAAGTGTATTCAAGATTACCAATCTTCCCACACCTTCCGTGCCTCAACAGCCTCCAGAACGCTGGTGGCAAAAGTCCATGAATCAACAGCCTCCAGAACGCTGGTGGCAAATGTCCTGGAAATCCTGTGGACAAAATGCATGAGGAGAGGGAAGTAGGCAATATTGCCCTCACTCTCCTCTTGCATCAGTGAAAAGTTTAGCAGTGGAAGAGCAAGGACTGACATCATTATACAACTCCCTCTCTTCTCTGTACCCCACTGCATCTTGTTCCTGGACCTCCAGTGCTTTGAGCAGTGAGGAGGACCCATGAGCACCATTTGCCGAATCTGTCTCCATCTATCAATGCGTTGCTAAGGAGGAATGAATTAGAATCTTAAATATTTTGTAAGAACATAAGCAGTCACTTCCCTGCTCAACAGATGTAAGTTCAATAATCAGTATCTATCAACAGATTGTCTTGACAGGCTAGAACATTAGGGACAGACTCCTCAGTAAGCAGACATATCTTACAGCAAGACTGTAGCACTTAGATTTCTGGTACTTCATTCTTGTGGGCTGCTTTCTCACAGATCTATTAAAATGGTCTATATTTTAACTGTTTTCTCTACAAGATGCCTGAATACAAATCTCACTCTTGTTCATGAAAAAGCATCTAGTTCATTCACACGAATCCAAGTGGAACCAATGTACACGCAAAATCATGGTGACAAACTAAAGAACTATGTTTTTCAGTCACTAACATGGATTAGAATATCCACCTCACAACACGCATTAAAGGGAAGCAGAATTCGTTATATAAAATTTTGTAAACCACTCAGCAAGCACACTTCTTGTTCAAGGATGTCAAGGCATAAGCAATCCATAAGTGATCTCAATTGTGCATTAATGCCTCCCAAAGATACCACAAAAGCTGGCTATCTATATAGTTCCAATATCATTATCAGAAACTGAATACATAAGGTCTTTGATGCGTATAAGGACATACAAATTAGTTCTGTGATAACTGAAGTTTAACAGGGGAGGGAGCCTATTAATTATTTGGATACTATGGAGTCTAGGACCAATTAAACAATCTCGCCAAGTTACATTTGTTTTCACTTTTCCTCTAAAGGGCTAGCAGCAGCATTTCAGACTAACAACCTGGTGGGTTAGGCAAAGGAAGAGTACAAAGCATTTGTTCTACCACTGCATAATAGTTGACTCTAGAATTAAGTCTAGAGTTAAGTGGTAACCAATTCCAGTCAAAACGAATGAAATCCTGGAAATGCAGCAAATGTGTTGCAAATGTTCTGCTTCTCTCTACTAATTCGGAGAAGAGGTTTAATATAAAAATTTCTTCAAAAAGTTACAACTTTTTGTGGTTACCAATGAACAAATGCCATCTTTCTTCCATAAGAAGCCTCTGTGTACTCTGCAAAGCAAAACAATAAAGCAATGAAATCAATTAATGTTCCACACTTTCAGAAGTTCATCTGCTGTTCTGAGTACCACGACCTCGCAAGCAAATTCATGAAGACAGAAGTCTTCAAAAACTAGTTCTTGTGTCCATGCATATCAGTGCAAGTCATTTGTACAACAAGACAGCTAGGGGGAGAGGTATAAGTGAAGAACCTATTCTCATCTACTTTACAATAATTTCCCTGCCTGAATGCAATTCTTACTCTTTACAAGTGAGTTATTTACAATTTTCTGTACATTTACAAGCCTGGAGATTACCACCTAAAAGAATGTTTTTCTGATTTATTTATAAAGGTCTTCGGCTATCTAGAGTAATACTAACCACCTCTCAAAACCTTTTACAACCATATCTGAAAGATTCCATATGTTTCGTGACAATACTTACTCTAAGCTACTTAGTTTAAAAGGCTCCTTTTTAATGAAAATGAGATGCTGAGCTGCTGCTACAAGAAACCAGATACAATACATTGGGCAGTTAACTGACAGCACAGTTACAGAACTACAACATGGGTACAACAATTTACTTGAACCAAAGCCTAGCTCCTTTAAGAGACTGTTTACGTGAGTTAATAATTGCCTGTTAAAGTCACCTCTCTCCATAATTACTTACTGTGTTATTACTGTGCAGAAAAGCAAATACTTCAATGTTATTTGTAAATTTGTGAAACCCTTTTTTGTTACATCTCTGATAGAATCTGGTGGGTAGTTGTGTTGGTCTGAAGCAGCAAAACAAAATTTGAGTCCAGTGGTACTGGACTTAAGACTTTGTTTTGTTACATCTGTGTTCATTAAAACAGAATTAAAGGTTTCACCAAACTGATACATAAATGTAAGTGCATGATTTCTTAAACAAGGAGACTGAAGCACAGTTTTGTTTTACCTAAATCAGAGACAGATCTCCCAGCTCTTATGTCACATACAAGCATTTATATTTAAGTGCACAGCCTTTTTTCAAACATATGCCAGCCAACAGGAGACTTTCCCCACAGGACACAACTTTTAACCTCACAACAGAAACATACTCCACTGTTTTCACAGAAACCCAAGCCTTCATACATACACTGCCACCACAGCAAACCATATCTGCTATAAGAGATTATAAACTCATCTTGCAAGAAAAACAGGTGAATACACATGTATGCTGACTTCATCTGTTCTCTAATAAGAGACCTATAATGTCAGTGTACAGATCCGTAGTTGAAAGATTCCCTTGAAACAAGGCCTGTACATGCCAGGAACTTCAAAATACCCAAAACATTCCAGCTAATAAACAGCAGCAACAAACTTAACAACCATTCATACCACTTCCCCATCCCTTGGCCAGGAGCACATGCAACAAGCAACTTTAAGATACCTATTTTTTTTTACAGATCACACACACACTCCAAGAACACACCAGGCCTGGTTGCTGGATTAGATCAGTGGCCTCTCTAGTTCAGCATCTTGTTTTACAGAGCTGCCCTGGAGGTCAAAACCCCCGCTTCGAGCCCAAGGCCTTCACTTCACGTTGCCTCCCAGCATTAGCACTGACAGGTTCGAACACTTTATCGACAAAGACCACCCCTGGCCCCTTCATTAAAACCAGAAACACCAGTCTCTTCCTACTAGGCATCGAGATGCACCTGATTCGTTCGCATAACGTGCATTCTCATAACAACTGGGAACCAACGCAACACGGGGCACGAAGGGCAGCAAAATAACTCCGCCCGTTTCCCAGATCGACTGAAGGAGCCATATCCATACCCCTAACTCCACCCCCCCCCAAAAAAAAACCCAGAGAAGGGGTTATTAGGATAGAGAAGGCAGCTTGTTGACAACTGCGTGGCTGAGGAGGCAGCCAGCAGCCCTCTGACCAAGGAGGAGCCCAGCCAAAGGGCCGAGCTTCGTCGCCGCCGCCGCCGCGACCACCCTCCAGCCCTCAGCCTCCGCTCCCTTCAGTCAACCCGCCGCCGCAGGCCTACCAAGGGGCGCCGGGCCCTCTCCCGCGCGTTACCTTGCGCACCCCCTTGTAGATATAGAAGTAGAGCTCCCGGCCCACATTGAAGCAGAGCCGGTCCCCGTTGCCGCTCTGGTCGTTGACGTTGACGAAGGAGACGCGGACGGGGTTGGAGCCCTGCGAGTTGAAGGGCACCCGGTTGGGCCGGCTGTACTCCGAGTGGCTCAGCAGCTTGTACAGCCCCTCCCGGGTGGTGAACTGGGTCTTAATCTCGTTCATCTCCTTCCCTCCTCCCTCCGCCGCCATCTTGGAAAGGAGCATTCATCCTGCCCCAGTACCCGGATGTAAGGCTCAGCGCGCAGCCGCACCGAAGGGGGAAATCTCGACTCCGGCCCGAAAGGGAAGGGAAAAGCTCACGCCGGGAAGTGGGAGGAGCCCCGCGCGCACCGCCCCCGCCTCTCTCTCCCGTTGACTCCTGCGCGGCGCATGCGTTGGCGTTCCGCCTCTCAGCGGGGGATTGGAGGGGCGGGGCGAAGTTCAGGTGGGGAAGAAAATAAAAGGGAGGTGCTTCAGGACGTGAGAGGCGAATGAACGAGGAGGTGGGAGCAGGAGCATGCGCAGAAGGGTCTCTTGAGGGGTGTGTCGTTGAGGGAAGCAGGTGGAAATGATCACCCGATAAATGTAGGGCTAGCAAAATACAAATGACCTATGTGGGAGAAAGCATTCTGCGCATGCTCAAAAGCACGCGTGTTCTTCATTACTACCTTCTTACAGACTTCACTTTCGCGTTGTTTTGTCTAGTTCATTTTTTACTTTTTTCATTTTTTTACTCTTTTTCTGTAAGCTCAGAGGCATATGGGGGCTGTGTGTCTATCCCCGTTCTCTCCATAGAAACCGTCGCGGGTTGCCAACTCGGGAAATTCCTGGAGATTTGGGGGCTGCGCCTGGGGAAGTGAGGGTTTGGGAATGGAAAGGGTCACAGTGGGGTACAATGCCGTAGAGTTCACCCTCCAAAGTAGCCATTTTCTCCAGAGGAACTGATCTGTGGAGCTTGGTGATTAGTTGTAACTGTAGGAGCTCTCCAGACACCACCTGGAGATTGTCAACCCTATGCAGGAGATAGGAGGAGGAGGGGGGAGAGAGTGCTGAGAGAACTGTGACTGACCCAAGGCCACCCAGCTGACTTTCATGTGAAGGACTGGGGAATCAAAGCCAGTTCTCCAAATTAGAGTCTGCTGCTCTTAACCACTTCACCAAACCACTGCCCCAAGGTTGCCATATACAATTTAAGAGCAAGGAGGAGATTATATAATAGTGCAATTACATAATAGAGCAAGGGGGAGATTATATGGTAGTGTAGTGGTTAAGATGTTGAGCTACGATCTGGGACAACTGGATACAAATCCTCATTCTGCCATAAGGCTTCCTGGATTACCTTTGGCCAGTCACAGCCTAACCTACCTCACAGGGTTGTTGTGGTGGCGAAATGTATAATGGGAGAAATATGTATGCTGCTCTGAGCTCTTTGGTGGGAGCGGGACAAAAATGCTCTAAATACATTTGGGGAGGGTTAGCTGGCATTATGTTGGTGAGCTTTCACACAAATTAAATGCTGCTAGTAATGTATTCTGGGAGCTAAGCATAGCCTGTTATATACTTGGGGATGATCCACTCCATCTATACATTAAGAGGAAGTGATTATAATTTAAGTAACAGTGAGATGGAAACTTGTTTTATATGTATGTTTATGTTTGGTTTTTATTTTGTGTTTTAAAAATATTAAAAATTTCAAAAAAAAAAGAGGAAGTGATTATTTTTCACATTTTCCTAAGTAACCATCAATGCAAATATTGTGCTGCGGTTGTTTGTGGAGTCAGAAATGGAAACAAGAGAGAAAAGGCAATCCTGTTCTTCCAGCAGCTGGAAGCAGCAGCACCCAAACTAGCCCCTGAAGCAGAGCTGCCAGGTCCCCCCTGGCCACCAGCGAGGGATGGGGGGGTAACAGTAGGGTTGACCAGATCCAGGTTGGGAAACTCCTGGAGATTTGGGGGGTGGAGCCTGGGGAGGACAGGGACCTCAGTGGGGTACAATGCCATAGAGTCTGCCCTCCAAAGCATCCGTAATATCCAGGGGAATTGATCTCTGTAGTCTAGAGATGAGCTGTAATTCCGGGGGATTACCAGATCCCACCTGGAGGCTGGCATCCCTGTCCTGAGGGGCTATCAGTTGCCAATGCCAAGGCAAAGAACATTAGTGGGGAAAGTATTGCAACAGCACTCACTGGAGATCCATTTTGGAGGCTGCCTGGCAACCTCCATTGTTCCTGCAAAGTGTTACTCTCATAAAACGAACTGCTGATCAAGGGGGCGTGTTTTTTCTTTTCAGGGAAGAAATATTGATTACTATGCAGCCTAATCCTGTGTATCCTCCTGTTTGTTCAGGAGTAAGTCCCACAGTGTTACAGGGCTTACTACCAAGGCAGTGTACACTTTATTGCATCCTTTATGGTGGACCTCTGCAAGGGGGGAGGGCGAAAGAGAAGAGCAAAGAAGAGAAGACAGCATTGGCTGCTATGGTGTGGAAGTACCACCTGCCAACAGCCGTCTAATCTACTAGACATATGATTACTTAAGCTCATAAGTGGAAAGGCAATTAGACTAAGTATCTGTGCTATAAAGACAGTACCTGGGTTTTATTTGTCCATCTGTATCTGGAAATCACCAAATTGGCTGCTGGCAGGGAAAACAGGAGTTGATGTCACAGAGACGAAAAGGAAATTGAGGTTTTCCTGTGGTTTGGGTGCCAAACTCCGAGCTTCTTCATGATGTTATCCATTCTATGTGTGTGTGTGTGTTTTGTTGTCATTTTTCTGTGCTTTCTCCAATTGGATCATGGTTTGAAAAAACACAGAGAAATGACAAGGAAAGCATGGGAAGACCACAAATGGGAAGTGACATTGTATGGAAGTTCTGAAACAAAACACTGTAGTTCAGCACCCAAACTTCAAGGGAAAAGTCCATGTGAAAAGATCACTATATCTAATTGCAATGTCTGACCGCCCCCCTTGTATTACAAAAAGATAAAGAGAAGGGGGAAAACCCCCAGTGTTGCAGGAAAATAAAAACAGTAGTGCTTTTAAAAGAAAATAAATAAATAATCGTGGCTGCACATGCAGAGACATTCAAGAAAAATTGCTTGGGGGTAGGGTTCCCATCTCAGGTTTGGGAAATACCTAGAGATTTTGGGGGGGCGGAGCCTGAGGAGGGCAGAGTTTGGGGTGGGCAGAGACTTCTTCAGGATACAGTACCAGACAGTCCACACTCCAAAGCAGCCATTTGCTTCAACTGATCTTAGTTGTCTGGAAATCAATTGTGACTAGAGATGTAAAATTTCCAGAAATTTTGAAGCTCAGAAAAAAACCCGTTTTTTTTCCTTTTTTTCCCCGGAAAAAAACAGAAATTTTTGGAAAAATTGAAAAAAATGCTACATTCGCACTTCTTTTGTCTTTTCTAGATTGAAAGTCATTCTGTTACTTTAGGAACATAAAATATGACTATGGACATTTTTACTTGGCATGAAATTATCACAACTAGCATATTAAAAATAAGTGTATCCAAACAATTATTACAAACAGAATACCCACCCACATGCAAAAACAAAACTGAAACCTTTTTATTGTCTTCTGACAATAGCACCTCCTAAAGGAAGAAATGCATCTTGTTCTTGCATTGGAGAGTTCAGTTTGTAACCTACAGCTTGCTTGTCCTCAGTGCACAGAAATTAGATCAATCTGATACCATATATATATATATATTAGAAATGATTTGGAAAATATTTGAACACCTTGTCTTAAAATATTTTATTCATCATGTTAAGATAAAACGTTCAATAATCAATTTTTTTCTTTTCTTTTTTCAATTTTTCAGAAAAAAATTAAAAAGGCTTCAGGAAAAAAACAGAAAAAAACTGTTTTTTTCCCCGGTTTTTTTCCGGGCCTTCACATCTCTAATTGTGACAGCAGGAGGTCTCCAGGTCCCACCAGGAGGTTGGCAACCTGACTTAGAGGGCATTTGGGGTTCTCATAGCAACCCAAAATACCTCTCTCTCTCTCACACACACACACACTTGAAGTCATTATCCTATTGGTCTTTCCATTGAGAAATCCATGAGAAAGGCTTCTGAAGAACTTTAGGGTGTGAAATAGTAGCACAGAAAACAGAAGCGTGTTTTATTATTAATAAGAAGCTAAAATACTTTTGGGGATCAACGGATATTTTCAGTGAAGGTATTCCCAGTGAGGTGGAAAATTCTGTGAAGTCTTCAGTGCAGGAAAGGCTGTTGAATCATTTCATGCTCACCCCACATCCATTTCATGCCTCTGTTGCCATAAATAATGCTGAGGTTTCATCACCATTAGAAGCACCTCCTCTTTCCCCCTCTGCATTCGGTATGTATTAAATGGTCGGTTTAACATTAGCCTATGGAAGACATGAGGAATCTGTACACGCCGCATCCTTTGATGCTCTGCTATAGAGTTCATTTCAAATATGACCCAAGAGATGCAGAGATTGATGGCAGCGAGTGGGAAGTTCTTGAAAATAATTGGGACATCTGGCATCCAAAAACTTTGGGCTGGCACACAGAAATGTGATGAGAAATTGTTCATACTGCTCCAGAAAGTGTGTGAGGACGGGAAGCGGAGTTTCAGTTATGGGTTTCACATCATCCCACCTTTCCACCCAATTAGGGCCCTTCGGTGCAGCAAAAGTGAAGCGGTGAAACAAGACTCATTGATTTCAGGATGACTTACATTCAGCTATCTATTTAAAACATTACCGTGCTGCCTTTCCACCCAAATACGGTCCCCAAGGAAGCAAACTTCGAAACATTAAAACATATCAACATTAAAACAGCATTTAAAATAAAATAAAAAATAATATAAAATGTTTCAGTGAAAACTTATAAACACATATAACATCAAAACTAGGGAGGAGGGCCAATAGCAATTATTGGAATATGACAAACAAAACAAAAAGGGCTTCACTTTTTGCTTCAGGCAAGTGAAAGAGGGAGACAGACAAATATCCCTGGGGAGAGAGTTGCAAAGTTTTGATGCCATGACCAAGAAGGTCCTTACTTGGGTCACCATCTGTCTAGCCTTTGACGGGGAGGGCATCTGAAGCAGGGCCTCCCAAGATGACCGGAGTGGACGTGTAGATTCACAGGGGAGAAGGTGGTTGTTATGTGTCCGGTCTGGAACATTCCAGGACTATCTACCAGAGACTGGCTGAGCTTGGAGCTCAAGAACAATAGCCCACCAGGACT